TTACCAGAAAGCAACACCCTCCAGCAAAGCAAGGGCCCAGCTCAGAGCCCACTGACTAGAACTGGTCTCTGCCTCCCGTTCATACAGGTGCCTTCCTGAGCCCTGGCCCTGAGAGCTGTGTCCCATCACTGCAGTTAGGATGGCAGTCATTTCTGTTCTTATACATCCATGGGTCACCAGTGTTTGGCATTCTGTGAATTGGTATCCTCTGATTCAGTCTGGTAAACTGTGGCCAGCCTTGGGGGCCTGTCAGGATGTGGGGCACCCCTGCCAGCATACTGGCAGTCACAAGACCCAGAGGTCCTTTCTTTGCAGTCCCTGTGTAGTCTGTTCTTTGTCCAGTGGCAATAGTTCCTATTTCAATATGGTTATCTTTGCACAACTCTTTCTCTATTTGCCATGCAGTCCTGCTATCTAGCAACCTCCCTTGGTCTCCAATGGACCAGGGGCATTGTCCCATCCCTCAGCTTTTTTCATAATAGGTTAAGCCTATTCAATCCTCTCTCCTGTGTCAGGCCCGTGGAAGGGATCACAGGTGGGCTTGCCCACTTATCCTGCCCTCTTCCATGTTGATCAGCACAGAGGAAGCTGCAAAGCTAACACCTATTTTTGGAGCTATTAGTGCCGCAGAAGCTCCTCTTCACCTCCCCTCTGTTGAGTTCTTGCCAGGACTCCTCTTCTGACTGCACTGCTCTGCACTTCTGGCTCCACCGCTTCTCCCTGGTCCGAGGCATTGGCTCAGGACCTCTCTACGGAATGTGCCTCCACAGAAAACCTCCCCAGGGAAGCCTGCCTACTTCCATAGCTCCAATTATTTCTCAGGGTCCAAACACAATAAAGAAAACAGAATTCAGAGTACTGGAAGATGGGGAAATGTGACAGGGAGAGATGAGGAGAAGGCTCTGATATTAGTAATGTTCCTCTGATTTTTATTTTCTTTCCTGTAGAAATATATTGTGTTTATGATAGTTTCAAAATAATTTAAGATTTTATCATGAAAAATCCCTCAATGAGATTTTGTGGTCCTAAGATTAAGTCTCAAGTTTCAGGCTGTGCATGGCCAATGCACCCAGACTAACATGCATCACCTGACCACTCTTTCCCTTCTTCTTGTGCTCCAAGCACATTCTTTTGTTTCTTTTACACCCTGTCCTCTCACCTCAACACCTTTGCACATGCTGTCTTCTCTGCATATACTTATACCCTATTGTCACCTTGCAAAATTCCTGCCCTAGCTCCAACCCTCACCCCAAACTATAATCAGAAACAAAACTGATGGAATCAAGCATTAGTTTAATAAGGTTGGTCTTCCCTGACCTTCCTGTTCACATTCCTGTAGCATTCTCCCTCTCATGCGTCTACAAGGGCAAAGATAACATCTGTCTAGCCTACCATACTGTCCAACAGTCAGCACAGTGCCTGCCGTGAAGTGAACATGTTAAAGGAGCTCATTTACTTTTTTTTAAATTAATAGACTTTATTTTTTTTAGCAGTTTTAGTTTACAGAAAACTTAGCAGAAAGTATACACCTTGCATTACTGTAGTACATTTGCTGTAACTGACTACCCAATATCAATATATTATCTATACTAATAATAGAGGAATATGTAAATTGTCCAGGACATCGTCACAGTAACAGTAACGACTGAACAGCAGGATGCATGGGGCAACAAGGCCAGCAGGGGGGTTAGTGAGGGACAACCAAACAACTGAATAGCAGGCTGCATGGGGTGACAAGGCCGGCAGGGGGGTTAGTGAGGGTCGACCAAACAACTGAACAGCAAGCTGCGTGGGGTGACCAGGCTGGCAGGAGGGGGTAGTTGGGGGCGACCAGGCCGGCAGGGAGGGCAGTAAGGGGCAAAACGACCAGGCCAGCAGAGGGGGGCAGTTGGGGATGACCAGGCCGGCAGGGCAGGGCAGGGCAGTTGGGGGTGACCAGGCCGGCAGGGAGGGCAGTTAGGGGCGATCAGGCTGGCAGGCAGAGGCGATTAGGGGTGACCAGGCTGGCAGGGGGAGCAGTTAGGGGCGATCGGGCAGGCAGGCAGGTGAGCAGTTAGCAGTCCACGGTCCCGGATTGTGAGAAGGATGTCCGACTGCTGATACTGAGGATCGGGCCTAAACCGGCAGTCGGACATCCCCCGAGGGGTCCCAGATTGGAGAGGGTGCAGGCTGGGCTGAGGGGATCCCCCTCCCCCCCCGCCACGCCACGCACGAATTTCGTGCACCGGGCCTCTAGTTATTAACTAAAGTCCATAGTTTAAGGTTCACTCTTGGTGTGATGCATTTTATGGATTTGGACAAATTACATGAACATGTATCTACTTTATAGTATATAAAACATAGCTTCATTGCCCTAAAAATCCTGTGCTCCTATTCTTGCCTCTGTCTCCTTCCTCTCCACTTAACCCCTGGCAATGACTGGTCTTTTTTTTTTAATATATATTTTATTGATTTTTTTACAGAGAGGAAGAGAGAGGGATAGAGAGCTAGAAACATCAATGAGAGAGAAACCTCAATCAGCTGGTTCCTGCACACCTCCCTAATGGGGATGTGCCCGCAAACAAGGTACATGCCCTTGACCAGAATCAAACCTGGGACCTTTCAGTCCGCAGGCTGACGCTCTATCCACTGAGCTAAACCAGTTAGGGCACCACTGGTCTTTTTACTGTCTCCATAGTTTTGCTTTTTCCAGAATGTCATATGGTTGAAATCATATAGCAGCCTTTCAGTTTGGCTTCTTTCACTTAGTGATATGCATTAAGATTCCTCCATGTCTTTTCATGGCTTGACAGCTCATTTCCTTTTAGTGCTGAATAATATTCCACTATCTGGATAGGCCACAGTTTATGAATCCATACTGAAGGATATCTATGTTGCTTTCAAGTTTGGGCAGTTATGAATAAACCTGTTTTAAGTATCCGTGTGCAGGTTTTTGTGTGGTCCTATGTTTTCAACCCCCTTTGGATAAATGCCAAGGAACATAATTACTGGATCCTATGGTAAAAGTATGTTTAGTTTTGTAGAAACTGTCCAATTGTGTCATTCTGCATTCCCACCATCAGTGAATGGGAATTCCTGTGCTCCACTTCCTTTTCAGCATTTGGCAGTGTCACGGTTCCAGATTAGGTGTGTGGCAGGAGTTCACCTACTTTTCACTGAGGACGGCCAGGAGGACACCAAGAGTGCTTTTTCAGACCCACTGGACCTTGTTTTCACTTGGCCAGCTTTTTACAAATATACCAGGATGAGCTTGTGCCTACGAGTCTATATTCACAGACCTGAGGTAGCCTCTAGCATCTGTGTGCGTGTTTTTAATTCTTCCAATGATTTTGAAGCATAGCTAGGATTTGAGAACTACTGATTCAACCAGGAAAGCAAATGCTGCTGACAAGTCAATGTTGATGTATCTTACTTGTCCTTTCACCTAGACAGGGGATTCTCTGGCGAGATAAGATGGACATTAAGAGCTGTGATGGAAAGGACAAAATTATAATAACCTCTAGATCTCAGTTCCCAATACAGTTTCTGACAAAGTATGGGTTGGACCATACTTTCTTGTTTTTCACCCTGAAAGGACCACACGCTGTGCAGATTGGGCCTCATAGCAATGGGACAGGGGTATGTGTGTTTCCTCTATACAGTCCAAACCCCCCGATTTCGGTGGATCTGAGGTTTTCTCAGTGCTGCAGAGGACCACAGGCTCAGAGGGAAATCACGAAGACAAAGCAGTCATGCCCCAAAGGCAATCCACATGGGCCCAGCTTTTCTTTTGAAAATATAAAATTCTGAGGCCAATAAAGATCTTGATATAGCAGTTCTGGGTTAGAACCTAAAATCCCAGGCAGGTTTAGAAAACTCTGGTTATAATCAGCTCTCCCCATTTTTATTCCCAATGGATACACTCTAAGCTTGTAGTATTATTCTTTAAAATATCTTCACAACACTACACCTATCCCAATTTCTCAAGTGATTAATACAAATGGGTTCTAATGAATAAGAAAGTTATGTTCCAACTATAGGCCTGGTGCACGAAATTCGTACACGGTGTGTGTGTGTGTGTGTGTGTGTGTGTGTGCGCGTGCGCGCACGCCCCTCAGCCCAGCCTGCACCCTCTCCAATCTGGGATCCCTCTCACAATCCAGGACTGCTGGCTCCCAACCGCTTGCCTGCCTGCCTGCCTGATTGCCTCTAACAGCTTCTGCCTGCCAGCCTGATCACCCCCTAACCACTCCCCTGCCAGCCTGATCGACGCCTAACTGCTCCCCTGCCGGCCCGACTGCCCCTAAGTGCCCTCCCCTGCTGGCCTGGTCCCCCCCCAACTGCCCTCCCCTGCCGGCCTGGTTGCCCCTAACTGTCCTTCCCTACAGGCCTGGTCGCCCCCAACTGCCCTCCCCTGCAGGCCTGATTGCCCCCAACTGTCCTCCCCTGCCGGCCTGGTCACCCCTAACTGCCCTCCCTTGCAGGCCTGGTCCCTCCCAACTGCCCTTCCTGCTGGCCTGATTGCCCACAACTGCCCTCCCCTGCCGGCCATCTTGTGTCCACATGGGGGCAGCTATCTTTGACCATATGGGGGCAGCCATCTTGTGTGTTGGAGTGATAGTCAATTTGCATATTACCTCTTTATGAGATAGGATACTATTTGTTCAAAATTCTGAATGTGTATTCCTATAGGACCACTTATGACCTTATATGAATACTAGAGGCTGGATGCACGAAGATTCATGCAAGAATGGGCCTTCCTTCCCCTGGCTGCCGGCACCACCTTTGCTCCTGCCAGAGCCGCCTTTCAGCCTTCCCACGCTGCCCAGAGGCCCAGGGCGGCTGGGGTAGTGCGTAAAGCCTGTGTCGTCGCCATGGCGATGACCCAAGCATCCGCCCTGCCCCCTGGCGCCTATGTATGCAAATTAACCTGTCATTTTTGTTGGGTTAATTTGCATGCTCACTCCTGATTGGCTGGTGGGCGTTGAGAAGGTACGATCAATTTGCATCTTTTTCTTTTATTAGTGTAGATCTTTATGGAAAAATAGGTCTTGGGTTCTAACTTAGGGTGCCAAGAAAGCATTTGCCCCAAGTCCATGTTGCTTCTAGACTCTTGATTTCCATCTCAGTCCTCACTGTCCGCTTAGCTCCACAGTGGGACCCTATTAGCACAGGAAAAACCAAGGAGCACTAGATCTCCAGATTACTTTTGTTTCTATCTATACTTATCAGAAGAAAAACAACAAAGGTGATTTTTACATGAATCCATTTCTGCTGACTTCAAATTGTGTGTACATGACTTGAATATTGCCCTTTCCTCCGAATATTGTCCCAACCTCTCTCCAATCTCATCCTGACACTCCAGAACACACACAAGCCACCCTTAACTCCACCCTACCCCACGCCCTGTCCTCCGTGGTTCTGTGCTGGAGCTTTGTGAATCCCTCAGTACAATTCAGATTTCTGCAGCAGTCAGAAGCCTCAGGAAATGCTTTATAGAAGGATTTACAGGCACTTACCGCCTACATTAACCTGCCTACAAATGTCACTCTAAACACCCAGATTCTTTACCACTTATACCTCTGTTCTCCAAAAAACACTAAATAGTGAAAGTGTATTCAGGAGTGTCAACTTCATCTATAAAATACTCACACTGAAATGTCATTTGATGATTTAATAAAAATATGAAAGCACTTTATAGAACATTACATATTTTTTAAGAAACTCAAATTTAAAACTAATTTAAACTCATCTATCAACTCATATTAATGCCAAATGTTAAGTGTCTCTAGCCCTTTTCTCCTAATTTCCTCCTCTTGCGTAAGTGTTCTAGTCCCAAGTACACAATAATGATTGCTTAATCCACAACTGCCACAGGAGGACCAGGCATCACCTAGATACAGGAAATACTAAATACGTCCTATGAGCTGCTCCCTTCAGACTTTCTGACTATTCATTCAACATTAATCATTCACTACCTTTTCTAGCCATTCTTCCTACAAGAATAACACTGACAGTAACAAGCATTCATTAAGTATCTACTTTACATATACATTCTTTTTCATAGTCACGTAAGTATCTCACTTTAAAACAGGACACCTGTAGCTGAGAGGGGAGGAATCAAGATGCCCACAGCCTTGGAACTCAGCCTCTCACCTGTCTCCCCAGCATCTACTGGACATCCCTGTGCCTGGAGTAAAACAAGGACACCACAATCTGTCTCCATCATGTCTTCCTTAACTAAAGTAAAGTAATACATGGTATCAAGTGTACCTCCTTCCAACACCTCAAAACCCCCTCTCCAAGAGTAACCCTAAATTACATCCAATCATTTCACTATCCAGACTCAACAGCTTTTCATGAATTAAGTCATTCAGTCAAATACTTGCCCACTGCAGGTACAAGAGTGAAGGTGACAGGTGAGATCCTGGCTCCCCCAAAGTTGAAATAATTAGGGGTGGAAGTGGTGTGAGAATTAAAGTTAGGTGGCATGATGTTGGCCTGGTGGACTGATATAGATGAAAGACCGGAGAAGTGACAGTGAAACCTAGATCTCAGACACTGGAATAGCTCAAGGATAGCCAGTCAGGGAGGGAGAGCTCTAGGCCCACACCCAGTGCAGAGGCCTTAGGGCTGGAGCCAGTGTGACACACTCCAGGCAGGAATGAAGCTAGGGCCTGGAGAGTGAGGGGCAGAGGGCAATGGGAGTCAGACTGTGGGGAAGCAGGTGGGCAGTAGATGAGATGGGAAAGCATGGACCAATACATTTTTAAACATTACTCTGGCTACAGGGAAGAAAATGAATAATGGCGGGGGCTAAGGGAAAGCAACAGGAGAGTGAGCCCTGTTCCATAAGGAGGCCTCTGTGACAAACACAGTCCCAACAGGAAAATGAGCCAGCAGAGGATATGGCCTGTCCCCGCTGCCCCCACCCTCCTTGGTCCCGCAGCATCAGGACCATCCATACTCACTTGTCCATCACCCACCCGTAGAGACAGCCATCAGCAGCTAGCACTTCCCTTTTATCTCTGTGCCCAAATTACATAGCACACAGTACTAACGCTGTGCTTGAAGGAGCAAATGAACATAAAGGACAAGTATTAGGGACATTTTCAACCCTGGGATCAATCTTCTGAAACCAGTAAAAAGTCTTATTCCTCTGACAGTGTCAGGAACATGCCATCTCTTGTATATGCAGTGAGCACACTGGAGCAACAATCGGCAGCATAATTTCCCAAAGCTTTACTGCTCTGCACCCCAAGAAAGGCAATCTGACTCTGGGAGGAGACTATTACGTTACAACCTCTCAGGAGATAGTCACGCCAAGCAGGCTTCAGGCAAACAGCTTATAACTGTGTTTATCCCCCAATTTTAAATCATTGAGTTAAATTTCGTCTTTTGAAAAAAAAAAAAGAAAGAAAAGAAATGAAAAGAAAAAAGACAACAAAAGAGGAGACACACATCCATGCACTCGTGAAAGCATCAGGTCTTCTATGTCCTCAATGCACTCTGCAAGAGGACACCTAGGGGACAGAGACTCTAGCATCACCACCATCTACAACCTTGGTCCTCGTGGCCCTACTTTTCTTCTCCACTTCCATATGTCTCTGGGTTTCCTCTTGCTCCTCAGTACTTTCAGGGGTTACTACTGAGTCTGCCCAGGAAGCTCGGCTACATTTATTTATATAACTGCAGAGATCTCCTCTCAAAAGAAGCCTATAAGGTTATCAGGTAAATATTTAAATCTCCTTGGTTACTGCATGGTCAGCATCCATCATAAAGGCCTTGATTTACTTACCTAAGTAGTGTGGTGGGTGAAATGCCACAGGCTTACTAGTCGCTGAATAATATGCAATTGCTCTCTTGAATCGAAAAACTTTGTCATCTGTTCTAGACTAAAATAAACAGAAAACCTGTGTAAATTAGCATGCCATGGGTCATATGTTTCAACATACTTTTATAATTCAGTACATGTATAAAATATCTGTAGCCTCTCAAGCTAGATAAGAGTTTAGAATGACATTAAAATCTTCAAAGAAAATCCAGAGAGCAAGGCAGTTAACACAGAACCTGAAGTGGCAATCAGAGCCCTGGGTTCTGCGATATAGCCTTTAACTTCTTGGTCAAGTCCCTGGTGCTGCCAGAAGTTTTACTTTCCATGTCCAGCAAGTGGGGCAGCTGTTTTAGATCTTCAGGGAGCAGACAGAAGTCACACAAACGTCAACTCTTTTACTAACCCCGATGCCTCAAATTCTTTACTTCCCACAAAAGGAAGACAAAACCCCTGACCATCACCTGAAGGGAAGGACAAATCAGAGATTCACAATTCCACTTGACCCACTTGATATGTCTGTCTTCTTAGTAGAAATCCTATCAAGTTATGATGGAGACTCTAGAAGCAACAGAGACCTCAACACTCATCTCCCTCAATCCCTCTCCAGTACAGGCCAGAGGAGCCAGCTGGGAGGGCTGGCATGGAGGCCTGACAGCCGGGCCAGTGCTCCTGGACACACCAGTGTGTGCTTCTCAAGCCCCTTCCAAACCTGGCGCACACCACTGTGCAAAGCGCTGCCCCAGAGCCTGCATTTCTACCTGAGAATGCTGGAAAACATCTTTAGCTATGGCATCCAAGTCCAAGGTGTCCTGGATGTTGCGGACGTAGTCAGCCACAGCCTTGATCACCACATCACATGGCGGCAAGACCAGCTGGTGGGCCCGGACCTGAGAAAACAAGCACAAATGTCAATGGTCTAATTCCAAACACAGGGTCCAGAAACCCCAGGTGTTGTTTCCTGCCAAGGACCGAATTGTTACCAATCTGTGAGCACTTGGCCCCAAGACTCTGGTACTCTGAGGTTCAAGCCCTGGATCTCCCTTACAGTTATTGAAATACAGCCCAGTTAGGTTAAGCAGCATCTGACAGCCTTTCATTACTTCTGAGACCAGGTCTGCGACCTGCTTATGATCAGTTCCAGGCTTGAGACCCTGAGCCCCGTAACAGCCAGCACACAGCCATGAGAACCCCTGGGCCACAGATGCTTCCTTTCTTTCAATGCCAGCCAGCAGGAGGCTGTGCCAGGCAACAGTCCCAACCGCCCAAGTCCACTGCAGAAAGATGAGGAAGCCAGTAAGTATCCCTTCCTGCTGAGGGACATATCTGATAAAAGACTTTTGGAATAAAGTATAGGAGTATTTTATTGTCTCAGAATAGTTGATACCAGGAAAAGGTAAGTAAACAGATATATAATTATAGCTATGCCCATGTGTTGTTCTCAGGAACAAAGACGAATCAGGTACTAACTTTATTTCCAGAAATTAAAAAAAAAAAATTGAATGACAGCACGAAATGATGTCTTTGTTTTCCATTTCATTATGAAGAGCAGAAAGATAAAGAAGGGGCAAAGGATCTAAAGGCTTTGGGCCTAACCCAAGAGGAAGGAACACTTGCAAACTCTTTTGATGAGGCCAGAATTTTCCTAATTGCAAAACCAGATAAGACACTACAAAGAAAGAGAATTACAAGCCAATATCCTTGATGATAAAATCCTAAACAAAATATTAGAAATCGCATCCAGCAATATATTAAAAAATTATGCACCATGACCAAGTGGGTTATATTCCTGGGATGCAAGGCTGGTACAATATTCACAAATCAATAAACGTGATACATCACATAAACAAACTGAAAGACAAAAATCACATGGTCATATTAATAGTTACAGAAAAGGCATTGACAAAATCCAACACACATTTTTGATAAAAATTCTCAGCAAAGTGGGAATAGAGGGAGCATATCTCAACATGATAAAGGCCATATATGACAAACCTACAGTGAACATCCTACTCAATGGGCAAAAACTAAAACCATTTCCCCCAAGAACAGGAACAAGACAGGGATGTCCACTTTCACCAAACTTATTCAACATACTACTGGAAGTCCTAGCCACAGCGATCAGACCAGAAGAAAAAACTACTAGATTTAATAAATGAATTTGGCAATGTAGCAGAATACAAAATCAACACCCAAAAATCGATGGCTTTTTTATACACCAATTAGAGGTCTGGTGCTCAGATTAGTGCACCGGTGGAGTCCCTCAGCCTGGCCTGCAGGGATCGGCCCAAACCGGCTCTCCAACATCCCCGGAAGGGTCCTGGATTGCGAGAGGGCAGTTCTCATGTGACGCACCCGAGAATCGGGCTCCCTCCTCTGTGGTTCCAGGTGCCTCACCCAAGAACCGCAGCTGCCAAGTCACCACAGCAAAAAGAGAGACCTCTGTATTGGAGAACATATTTGGAAATGATACATCTGATAAAGGGTTAATATCCAAAAAATATAAGGAACTCATACAACTTAACAAAAGGAAGACAAACAATCCAATTAAAAAATGGGCTAAGGACCTAAATAGACACGTCTCCAAAGAGGACATACAGAAGGCCAAGAGACATATGAAAAAATGCTCAAAGTCACTAATCTTCTAAGAGATGCAAATAAAAATGACAATGAGGTACCATCTCACACCTGTCAGAATGGCTACCATCAACAAATCAACAAATGACAAGTGCTGGTGAGGATGTGGAGAAAAGGGAACCCTAGGACACTGCTGGTGGGAATGCAGACTGGTGCAGCCATTATGGAAAACAGTATGGAGTTTCCTCAAAAAATTAAATATGGATCTGCCATTTGACCCAGTGATCCCACTTCTAGGAATATATCCTAAGAAACCCAAAGCACCAATCAGAAAGAATGTATGTAGCCCTATGTTCATAGGAGGGCAATTTACAATAGCTAAGATCTGGAAACAGCCCAAGTGCCCATCAGTAGATGAGTGGATAAAAAAGCTGTGGTACATTTATGCCATGGAATATTATGCAGCAGTAAAAAAGAAGAATCTCTTACCCTTTGAGACAGCATGGAGGGACCCGGAGAGTATCACGCTAAGTGAAATAAGTGAGTCAGAGAAAGACAAGTATCACCTGATCGCACTCATATGTGGAATCTAAGTAACAAAATAAACTGGTGAACAGAGTGGATCCAGAGACATGGAAGCATGGAACAGAGTGGAGAATCTCAGAGGAAAGGTGGGAGGTAATGAACCAAAGACCTTGAATGAATACGTGCATAACCCATGGACACAGACAGTAGGGTGCTGACGGCCTGGGGCAGGGGAAGGGGAACAGGGGTGGGCAGGAGAGGATCAAGGGGAGGAAAAAGGGAGACATATGTAATAATTTCAACAATAAAGAATTACTTTTAAAAAATTTCAGGACATATCATAACAAAGAAATAAATACATAAAATAAAGACTTTGGGTCTCCAGAGCTGTGCACTCCTGCCACTCCCGTGTGAATGTGGTGTGTTCCATGGCAGCCAGCTGACCTCAGGCCCAGCCTGTTACCCTGAATTGCTCAGATGGGCTCAGCGACATCACAGAGTCCTGAGGACTCCACCCGTGCTGCTTGTTTTGACAGTGTAAGAAGGGCCACAGTGTGCGGTGGCCTCTGGAAGCCAGAAAAGGCAGGAAACACTCTCCCTGAGCCTCCAAGGGAATGTGGCCACCGGCACCTTGATTTTAGCTCAGTGAGACCCGTTTTGGACTTGTGACTTGTATGGTAGAACTGTGACCTATAGAAATTTGGGTTGTTTTAAGACACCAAAAGGAAAAGGGAGGGGGGAGAAAATTAGAAAAACTCAGCCTAATCAAATGGAATAGAAGAAACTCTGGGAAAATACATATTTACACTTTTAAGTTATTATTATGCAAATTTTCAGATGCACAGAGTACATTCAATTTCCTTTTCTTAAAAAGCAATAATTCCGACTGGAAACAATGCTTCACATGTTGGAGCAGCTGCTCTACTCTCTCAGGAAGGCAAACCCCACAGAATGGACTGCAGAGGGCCACTGCCATGCCTGTGGGCCAGAAGCCTTCCCAGAAACCCAAGTCCTCCCACGCCAAGGAGAAAAACCTCTGGCACACACCTGCCCACGGTGAGGATGTCCCTGGAACAGCGCATTCCAGCCAGTCTGGAAGGCACGAAGTTCTAACC